CAATTCCCTTCTCCTCTCTTTTTCTTCTCTATTCCCTTCAATCCAAACATATAGATGAAGTTTTTAACTTTAAAAAAAAAGTATTTATATACCTTTAAATTTTAATTAACTTAAAAAATTACTTAAAGAAGATTCTGTTAATGAATCCCTACTATCATTACTGTGTCAAGATAAATTAATAATTGCTAATTATAAATAAAAATCAACTTATTTATTATTATATCGTGTGATTAACTTGACGCATAGCAGGACGATGTAGTTCGCATAGCATGGCGAGCAATGCCCACCCCTACCTAGAACTCCAAGGGACAATGCACATCCACTTACAGGATGTGCAAGCAATGAAATTGGCAACCTCTTATTATTATTATTATTTATCAGAGTAACTCCATTTACAATCCTTCTAATGTGTTGGAATCAGCGATCAACAATGGAGTGTCTCAAATCATTGACATTTATAACTATTTTATTGGTACCATTTCCACAGCTGTGTTTGAATTCGAAATAACTTTTAACTACTAACTTAGAATTAGTCTTTGCTGTAATGTTGGCGTGTTTTCTGTATGCTTTCTTGAATTCTAGCTAGTTTATAAGCTTCAATCAGAGCAGTAGAAGCATTGAATAATAATCGCACCTGTCCTCGAACCACTAATCCTCCAGTATCTCACAATGACTCCAATAGCAGCTTCCGGGCTCAGGATCAAAGGCCCCCTCACATTGGATTTTAGACATATTACATATATAGAACTCACCTTGTGTTCTGAATCCAGAAAAATCAAGTATTCTTTAAATGCTCTTTCTTAGGGACTTAAGTCCTAAAAGTGCTTTTCCTTAAATCAAATCAAAACTAATAATTAACCTTACAGATTAGTATATATTGTTCAAATAAAGATTCACAGACCGCATCTGGATAACAGTAGAACTGATATATTTATGAAGACTAGTGCATGACAATCCCAATTTAACACGAGGAGCAATGTTTTCCCACACAAAATACAGAAGGTGGAAGAAGATCTTATCATGTCCTCCTAATTTGGCCTGATTTCGATGCCTTCAATAATGACACCACTTTTCCAGCTACCATCGAAATGAAAAATTCGTATTTCCAATTGGCCATCTTCACCTCCTTCATTGAAGTATTCACCCAACTCTAGCTCTAGCCAACCATCTCCCCTCTCTACTGGGTACTGGTAATCATTTTGTACATCTTCACCTAGCTCTAGCCAACCGTCTCCCCTCTCTACTGGGTACTGGTAATCATT